TAACAAATTTTCACTGAGTGGCTCTTAATTGAGGGTGGCGCTTATTTGCGGGTTTTTACGGTAATCATCACATATCAATGAATGTTTATACATGGATGCTGTAGGACAATAGACAGACCTGGATAATTGTGGGTTAAAATCTATACATATTAATTACCCAATTTGCATAATTAACCAATTTTAAGCTTTCACACTGATATCTAAAGTACTAATTTCCATTTTAATGAAACTTAGTACAAAGATGCTATAGGACAATGTACAAACCTAATTAGTTTGGGGTAAAACTCTGTTCATATTATTTCCCCAATTAGCATAATAATTCATAATTTTTTGGTTCTAATCACATTTCAATTAAACTTGGTACATAGAGTTTTTGTTACATTGCGCAGACCACATTAGTTTTACAATCAAATCTGTTCATGTTAATTTTCTGATTTGCATAATTAGTTTTCAGCTAAGTAATTTCAAATTATATTTAATGTGTCTCCAATACTCTCAGCACATGGGAGTTCTTTCTAAGCTTTCTTTGATTTTGTATGTTTGTAACAACTCGAAAAAAAGTAAGTTATTCGCCTGCACTGCTTTTTTTTTTTTTTTTTCATAATTTTTTTTTTTTTTGGCAGGAGACAGTTCTGGACATTCTTATGTCACTGTTGTCTCTCCTGACTTTTTTTTTTGTATGTGCAAATTGCAAGTGCTAGTGCTGACACAATGCATTTTGCGACAGAATTCATATTCAACCAGGCTTGGTCGAACACTAGCACCTGCGGACCTTAACCAAGGTTCCCCCAAAGTTGCATTCGATAGTGATTGAATCTCGGCCAGTGGAATTGGCCTTCCCATTGAGTCTGTGGCACACACACTCAGCCAGGGTAGGGGTCGGCCCTTTGATGTTCAGGTTAATTTGAATTTGCGTCTACCAACCATGAGTCTGATGCGACAACAACTATGCTACCAGTGATCGGTCATTCACTCTTCACAATATACTAGACTACCCGGTAGTTCCAAAAATGTTTTGATGTATGTCATTGTCTACCTGTATACCTCAGCAATATGCTGTTTTCAAATATGTTTCTGTGTCTTCGATTTAGAATACAATTACCTTCAAATGCACATGTGTATACCGTATGCCAGTCAGAGTTTTTCTTTGTTAATATCGACACCTTCCTGTCTACATATGATATGCAAAATATTTTGAAAATATTTTTTTTTCTTGGTTTTAATTTTACTGACAAGTCAAGGTCATCTTCGTTGACGTCATCGTTAACTTTCCTTTTTTTGGCAGGTGGTCATAAAGTGTGTCTTGTATCATTGTCTCAATCATTCAGCCATTACAATGCTGTTGGTCAGAAACTGGTGAGTAATAATGAGACAGAGAAAATTCAGAACTTACATCTGCCAAAATTTAGATGCAACATTTTACACATTTGTTAATTTTGAACACAAATTTCCATTGCCTTGATCAACCGTGTTTAAAAATATTCTTAAAATACCATGGGTTTATTTGTGAAGGGTGTCAAATGTTTTTTTTTTCTTCTTTTTCTTTTTCTTTTTTATGTTTTTGTGCTTAGAAACGAGTCTGGATCTATCTTGATTCACATTGCAAGTGCTGACATCTAATGCATTTTGTCAAAGTGACCAAAAAGTTTACTCAGACAGGTTTTTTATTTGATCTGTCCTTTAATTCAGAAAAAATTCATCCAATGAAGACAAAATTTATTCTTCAAAGATATAACTTGATGTCATCTGATATCAGTTAATGAAAATCATTCACCGACATTTAATTCCCCTATTTTGATCATACTCAGTGTTTTAATTTCACAAATTTGTCAAAAAAACTATGAGATTCATTGTTATTTTCATGTTCACATAGGTTTAATTTAGCACTTTTTACTTATCAAACAAAAATAACAAAATTCAAATTTAGTGAATAATTAATGCATTTAAGTATTCCATTCAGCTAGTAAACTTTCGCACATAATCTGCTGATGCCATTTTGGCTATTGGTGGTGGTGATTTGCAGGCAGGCAATGTTTTGATAGATCACAGAGAGGTGACTATGAGTAATCTAAGTATGACACCCCAATCAATAATACAGCCCATGATGCCATGAATATTAACCAGCTCTATGAGTATACTGACTCAAACTCTGACCTACTCTCATTGCTAGGACATAGTATTTACAATTTGTGGAAGTACACTAATTTTGACATTTGACACTAATCTAAGCATGCCAGTTGATGTACATTCACAGTTATAGCTACCAATGGTTTTTAATCATCATCAGAATTATCATCATTCTAGCAATACATGTATAAACTCAATAGTTTACTGACAAGTTAGTGTACATGCACTCCTCCATAGTGGCCTACTGTTAGCTACATAGTAGCTGGCATGTTACAGTCCTCCAATCAAAACTTTGATCCATTCTTTGTTAAGGTAGAATGCTACACAAAAGTAAAATTATTGTTATTTTTTTTTATATTTATATATTTGGTATTTTATGTCACAAGGATGAAGAGAATGGAATAAAAATATGCAGTCCCTGTTCTTGGTTTAGATAAAATTAATGTACAAAATAGAGTGAAAAAAGCATACTTAGAGCATTTTAACTATTGTTTTTTGATGTCTAAAAGTATTAACAAATTTACAATATTTTTAGTGAGTTTTTAATTGAGGGAATATGTTTTCATGGTATATGGAAACTGCTGCTAAAACGACATTTTATGCATATAAATTTACTGTTTTTTTTTTCTAAAAACAGAACTAAAAAAGTTTACATTCTATTGACTAATACTAAAAAAAAATCATACATAGATTTTGACACTACCATACACACTAAAATATGTGTACATTTAAAAAAACTTGCGAGTAGCATTCTACCTTAAACAATGCCAGGGTTCTTCTATTTCCGATGGGGTACTGTAAAATACTTTATTTTCACTTGGAATTAACTTTCGCTACTTTTGCTGAAGGAATGATTCAGTGAAAATAAAATCCAGCGAATATACCTTTTTTCCTATATTATACATTCAACTTGTCAAAAATCAGTGAAAATAAATTTCAGCAAAAATTATTTTACAGTAGTTATTTTTCTTGTTTTACCTCTAACATGTTTTCTATACAGGGAGTTAACCTTTCTTTGGCTAAAGAAAAGAATCAGTTGGTGTTCATAGATGGATTGCAATGTTCTCTCCAGTTGTTTGCAAGTTCAGATGATTCAATGCAGAATAATCCACTTGTGTGTATTAGGTACTCATTGACTTACTGCGTTATCTCAAAACAGGATTTAAGGTTTAGTCTTCGTGCGTGCATGCATGTGTGCGTGCATGTATGCTGTGTCTTACCAACATTTTGAAGACTTCCATTTAATTTTATACAATTTATGACGACAGGACCTACATTGTGATGACCCTTACTACTTTCATAATTTATATTAATATTTAATTAAATTAAATTAAGTTTGCGTAGCTTAGACTTAGTAAAAGGGGAAGGTATGGTTCAATTTACATTAATATAATTGCACCATACCTACCCCCTTACTAAACCTAAGATTCACAAACATTTCTGTGGAAAGTCGTGGGATATTCAACCTCTGTTTAATTAAACTTGAATTAAACAAAGTTCTATATTGAATTGCAATGAATTGAGTTTAATTGAACGATGGTACGACGTGAAGGGGTGTACATGTGTGTGTGTGCATGTATGCATCCAGAGCTGTATCACAAACACTTCTGAAACAATTTTCTTCAAACCTCACACCTACTTATTACTTTAGCTGACACATGTGTACATGTGATTTGGTTAAAGATGGCCAACTACTGACAATTATTCTTACTACACTAACACTAATGGTGGACTCGTCTATCGGGTACAACATCATATACTTTTTTTCATATGCAAAACCCTTGAAGCTATAAAAAAGCAATGTAAAATGTTACTATGCACCAGGACTAGGAGATAAATTATCCTTAAATGTGCATAGTTTTGAGATTGAACACAATTAAAGTATGTGCTTCGAAACCTTTATACTAATAATTTGTGTTATGATGTTGAAATTTGTGTTCTTGCTATAAAATAAAAGGTACTTTAACCAAGGTTCCCCCATAGTCGCATCCATTAGTGATTAAATCTCGGCCAGTTGCCACTGACTTCCCAATCTGAGTATGCTGAACACTCAGCCAAAAAAATAGGACAGTGTGTTTTTGGTGTTCAACCCCAGGTCTACTGATCATTTGTTGGATGCAACTACTATTACTGGTATATGCTATCAGTCTTAACACATACAATTCACTACTTTCAATTACCCACCATAGACAAAATGACTATTTTGAACTGTAGACATTAATCTGTGATTCAGTCGGTGATGGAGAGATAAAATCTAGGTCAGGGGAAGCCCCATGACCATATAGATTTACTTCCACATGGTCAGCGCAATCTTGCCTTATGTTCACTCTGTTTTCTCTGCACCGTGTGTGCATCGCAGCAATACAGTCAGCAGTTTTTCAACTGAGTTTTCTAAGGTACTCCTTCTGTGACCGTTAACAGTAAGACGTGGTGTCTGGTAGAATAACATTTTTCTTATTAGGGGTCAGTGTTCTTTTATACCGAACACAAAAAAAATTTTGACTACTTTTGTAGGGCTTCATTGCGTCAGTTTCAACTGTAATTGCGTTCTACTCACGAGTGCCTTGTTCATTTCTTAGTGTAGCTAAAATGGCTAACAAGTAGAAAAGAAAGCACTCCAAGTAGAGCTCCTCACCTCCAGGAACTCCCGAGTTGGAACCCCCACTGTAAATGTCACTTTTGTTTAAAATGCTTTCAGGGTTCTGCCACGATGCATGTGCTCTACCGGAGATAAGTTCCAAAACTGCGTTCATGTTGCACAGACTGACCGTGTTGCCAGAGCTTGGGCTAGTCGTGCAGTCAGTTCGGATGGCCCTGGGGGCGTGAGCGAGAGGAGTGTTAGTATGGGTGGGAAGTCCTGCCGCTCGACTACCAGTACCTCGGACGCTATGGCGTCGAGTGTGGGGGTTCCGGCAGTGGTGGAACCTATGGGGCCTCACCTGGTATCGAGTTTGCCTCTGAGATTCAGGCGATGTTCAAGGGCCGGGCCTGTCAGGACAAATTTTGTTCCTTTCAGGTCGAGTAGACAAGCTGCAGGAGGAGTGCTGCAGATGCCTCTCGGTCGACAAGCAGGAGAATGCACTCCAGGAAGCGATGTTCGCATTCAAAGCGTGTTTCCTCCGGGATCCTCTCGTTCCCATCTCCAACCCCCCTATTACCGGATTCTGCCGTAAATTTGCCTATCCGAAAAACGCCCTTATTTGGGGTTCAAAATTTCAAAAAAATGATCATCAAATATATTTTTGGGATTTGTATTTTCATTGCTGGATTAAAAAGTAGACTGCCTAAAATTTCATTACAATGTCACCCAGCATACTTTTCTCCCAAAAAAATTAACGAACCTTGTAATAGAATTATTTTTTTTTCATTTTATTAGTATCGAAAGTACCGGGTATTATTTTAAAAGAAGTTTCAAATAAAAACGAACACAACTACATTGCTTAGTAGCAAATGATCGTGGTAGCGCAATCATGTCATGCTGCGTTTTACAATTGTTGATTTTTATCTAGTAGTGATTATAATAACGTGCAAAAAATAAATTTGTTGAATTGTTATGAAATGCAAATACATTTTAACTTATTTCATCGTAAGTGAATGATTCTGGTCGCATTTTAAATGATCGATGTTGTAGAAATGAATATCTGCCATGTTTTGACCTGGAACGGTGTTCTTTGACCTGACAGGTCAAATCGTTTATTAACCAATGAAAATGATGGATTATGTCCACGTGTTCAAATTACCATAACGAATTTAAAGGGGAAGTCAAGCCAAACACCACAATGACCCCTCAAGAAAAAGCTCCACAAATGTAGGAGAATGCAATTTACATTTTTTTATATCACTTTTCATTCTCTAGATATTCAACTTTTCATCAGTATTATGTAGTCAGCCATCTTGATTCTCAAACAAAGGATTATGGGTAAAGTATGACATAGAATCTGTTGTCAGAAATTGAGAAAACAAACAATTGACAAACCCCCCGTTGGGGGCGCTGTCAGGGATCCCCTCAAGTGGAGGCAATTTGACAGGAGGTAGACAGTTTGCTTACAATGGGTGCCATACACAGGGTAGAAAACTAGGCGGCAAGTCCATGCTTCTACTCACACATGTTTGTAGTTCCAAAGCTATAGGTGGTTGGCGTCCAGTTCTAGATCTAAGCAAACTAACTCATTTTGTGCTCCTCGATCGGTTCCGCCTGGAGACGCCAAGCACTGTTTTACTCTCCATAGTTAGACTTCAGTGATGCTTACGGGCACATACCGATGCACCCAGTGAGTCATTGACTCTTTTGATTTGCCCATTTGGGCCAAGTATTCAAATTCGGGGTGCTCCCCTTCGGGTTATGCACGGCTCCGTACGTGTTCACCATGTTGAAACAGGTGGTGCTGCTGTATCGGTCGTCAGTACATATAACAGGATTTACTACACCAATTAGGTTTTCTGGGAAATCTAAAAAAGTCCCATCCAAACCTGATACGTCAGTTGATATGTTGGCTATAAGTCAGCCTTGTCACCCGCCTTTGAGAAAACTTTGGGGACAAGACTAGCCGATTGTCCTATTATTAGGAGACTATTTAGACCCCCAATCTAGGGAACCACCTAATTGGGACTTGTCGGTTGTGTTGTTGGCTCTAAGTGGACCACCCTTTGAACAGCTACGATTAGCACCACTAAATACTTGATGTGGAAAACAGTCTTCCTACTAGCTCTCGTCTATGGTAGGCGTCGTTCTGAGTTAGGGACCCTGTCCTTCGTGGATGGTAGTGCTACCTTTAAGGACAATCAAGCTGGGCTAATACACGAATCAGGTTTCTCGCCAAGAACCAAATCCCAGGACACGATCCACAGCCGATCGTTATCCCCCATTTGGCCAATATTGTCGGCCCTGAGTATCAGGAGGAGTTGCTTCTATGCCCGGTTCAAGCTTTGAGTTGCTATGAGAGACGTACTAGGGAGTTGAGGCAGGGCTACAAGCACATGTTTATGTGTTATGGCCAGGGTAAGCAGGATAGAGCAGCCTCCCCGACTTCCATATCTAGGTGGATCACTTTGACATTGTTTGAGGTTTATAACCAGTTGGCGTCCTCAACACAGGGTCGATAGACACCAAGTACAAGCACATGAGTAATCTTTCCGAGTACTCTTTTATTTTCTGTATTGCTCGGAAACCTGCCACCCTTCAGCGTCTGACTCTGCCTGACCGGAGTCTATGGTGCGTAATTGAACATATTGAATTTGGGCAGAGGGTTTTTAACCCACCTATTCACCTATTTCATACCCACCATAGACTCGGGGACCCTCCCAACCACCCCACTTTCGGTAGCAATTGGCTTTAAGCCCTCATATACAGAGAAAACAAGGGAGTGAACATAAGGCAAGATGGCGCTGACCTCTCGACCTTGGTCACGTCTTACGTGACATGGAAGAAAATCAATGAAGTCATGGGGTTTCCCCTGACCTAGATTTCTCTCTCTGTCATCAGCTGAATCGCAGATTAACGCCTACAGTTCAAAATAGTTATTTTGACTGACCAGAGTCTATGGTGGGTATGATTACTATGAACTATGTGAATAGGCTGGTTCGGAGAACCTTCTGCCTAATTCTCACCAAATGTACCAATCATTTTTAATATAAAAAAAAAATTGTCTAGAAATGGATGCAATTTCAATTCAAAAAGCACATATTCTAACCTACCGTTAGTTTTTAGATCAGAGTCTTTGATGGATATTAACAACAGCTACAACCAAAGATGACGTACATTCTTTTTTCTTCCTACTTTGTAACAGAGATAGTAAAACAACTTTACAGCCACTCTACGAAATGGTACGAAATGCTGTGTGTAACTCAGATGGGAAAGTAGAAACACCAGTATTACTATTAATAGATGATCTCAGTATATTGTTAAGCCTGGGGATTAGTTTAATCTCAGTCTATGATTTTATGCATTATTGTGTTGTTATGCTGTGTGGCAGTATACAGGTACGTTTCCAGTTAATTTTCGTAAATGTTAATGAACATCATGATAATTAAACATGTGATGAAGAAAATATGGCGAACTCAGAGTTGTTTACTGTTAAACCATTTATTTTCACTGATATTTAATTTCTCTATTTTAATGTTTTGAGCAAATTTACTGGGTTTTAAGTTCAATAACCTTGCAGGAAAACCTTTAATTCTAAGTTCTGTTGATTAAACATACCGGGTAGTTACAATTTGGGTGTGGTTTTGAAAAAGTGGGCGTGGTTTCTGAAATATGGGCGTGGTCATTTTTGTAACTTGATGTTCGTAACTCAATAATTCAGCATCTTGGTGATTCAACAGTTTTTGTTCTCATTCATTAAAGCTTGAAACCATTGGGCAAAGAAAAAAAAATCTGCGGTGAAAAAATGTTGGAGAACAAAAAAGTACAATTCTGTGATCGGTTGAAAAGAGGCCAATTAGTTAGGTGGTCACAACATTTTTGGGTTTTTACGGTACCAAGGAACAGCTGTCTTAGAACTGCTGCAGAGGTCCAACAAAACATGTGTATCTTGTAAATATGTTTTTAGAGATTTTCTTGACTTACCTAGGTAAGCTGGTTGTTTATGTCTCAAATATCTGTTAATACCAGGGATTTATACTGTAGTTGGCTCATTCATAGAAATTTAGATTTAGCAAAAAAAAGGTTTCTTGACTGGTACTTGGCTGATCATGATGAATTGGTTATGTGACTAATTATTCATCAATGGTTTAGGGTGCTTGTTGATAAATGTAGTCTGTATTTATTATGATATTACTGATCACATTATGCATTCAACAAATTTTGACAGCTCCCAACTGGAACAGTCTGGGACTTATGGATTCGGTTTTGTCCATCCATCTGTGTATTGCTTTATCTCAGAAGTTTCATGGACCGATTCTGGCAGCTATTTTGTTCATCAAAAATGCTTTTATTTGTTCGTTTTTGCTTATAACTTGAGAGTACAATTACTAAGTTTTTTCAGGTTTGGTACAGGTAGAGGAAGTTGATTTCTTTCGAGATTCTACTCAATATGACCGACAAAATGAGTACTGTTTAATGTTGGTTTTATTGTACAGGTATATTTACAAATTAAAGCTTTGTTTATCATTTCTACTTTATTCCAGTCGGTTGGTTGCTTAGTAACCCTCATTCATTCAGATAAAGATGAAGAAAACAGTCTTCTCCTCAGACATCTTCTGTATTCTAGTCACCTGCACCTACACATGAATGGTCTGTCCAGTGGTTTTTGTAAAGATGTACATGGAGAGGTAAGATCAATTTCAATCTTATTACCAGGGCAATTTGAAAACAACAATGTTTTGACATTTTGCTGAGCATTTGGGTGGGAGTGAGGCAAATATAAAAGACAATTCATTAGTAGTTTTTATATATACCGGAAGAACAAGAAAACAATGCAAGTTTTGTCGAGATATTTTGTGTTTAGTATAATGCACCAACTCAGATTCAAACACAGTATGTGTATGAAACCTTTTTCAAATGGGATATGGATTCAACATGAAATCAGATTTTGAGCAAAGGAATTGTGTCAACAAAATTTTAAAATGTTTTAATAGCTCTGTTGTTGACATTATCAAGCAGAGCTATTCATTTCACTGTTTATTAGTAGAATCATCCTTTGTGATATTTTCAACTTCTTCTTTGATATTGCATATGTAGACATCTTGGGTGGACCTCAGTCAGATTTGATCAATTTTTGACAATATCTACTCTCAATTTCAGTGAATATTTTTGTCACTATTTTTGACTTATGATATGCAGATTTCCAACAATTGATATCATGATCATAACAAATTTAAACACTGCTATTAATATTCCAAGGTTTTCCAATCAGGTTATTTTTGCACTCCCTGTAAAACTAATCCAATCTCTTCGGTCAAACATGACTACCATGTGTTTAAGCATCACGGTTTGTGCAGCCCATGTTAAAAAAAAATTAGACACATTAAAAGCCACGTATACGAATGTCCAATATGTGCCAATGTAGAGTTTGAAGTGATACACGAACAGAATTCACCGAGATATGTGACGGCTGGTTGCATGACTTAAGCATTTACCTGGTACTATTTATTCTTTATCTTTTGGGAATATCATTATTAAGGGTCTTATTTCATCACCATGAAATGGATCACAAATATGAATGTACTGGGCTTTACATGTTTCCACAGTTTTGAAAATTAAATCATGGAAAAAGTTTGCCAGAGAAGATACTCAAATTGACGAAAAATAGATAACAAAATCTTTGCATTCAAATGTGATTAATGCCATTTTTTAAAACTCTAGTCTTTCCATAATTTTAGCTATCCCTTTCCAATAAAGCAAAGTCCATTTGATATTGTAGGATGTGGAATTTAGAAAGTCATGTGATCACTGCTAATTTTTATGCAAATGAGATCATTATTATGCATGGATGACAACCAAAAACAAATCAGGTCTGCACATTATCTCAAAGTATCTATATACCAAGTTTCATAGAAATCAAAAAATAGGTTCTTGAGATATTGGTGGAACAAACAGACATAAAGACCCCTATTGTGTGTGTCTTACACGAGGCGAAACCTTGAACAACAACATGAACAGATTTTCTGCTGGTATATCTCTCTCTTCATCTAATGATTATATTATTTTAAGGGTAAATACATCATTATTTGCCTAGTTGGGTATACCAAAATCCCCCTCCACATCCAAGATAACATTTAATTCCAGTGTTTTTTTTAGTTTATTATTTATTTATTTATTGTGTTTTTGACACACAATAGGGGTCTTTGCTGGTTTTGCTGGTTCAATTTACATTATTATTAATACAATAATAATAATAATAACAAATTTGATTGCATCCTTGAAATAAATTTTTCATCAGTTAAAAGCAATAACAATGAAATACATAAACAAACAAAAAATGTAAAATGCTCAAAAGAAAAGGAAAACAAAAAAAATGATAAAAGTAAGAATTATCTTTTAATTTGGATGTTCTGTTCTGATGTCAAATATGACATATACATATTCACCCACTTGTCTTATAATTTCAACATCATTGCAACTCATCAGGTATATAAATTTCTGATTAATGTTGTGGGCTGTGTTTGGAATTATTACATCTCTCAATAGTTTTTGTCTGTTATTGTAATATTTTGGACATTCCATGAAAAAATGTACCTCATTTTCTATTTTGTTCTCTGAACAATGTATACATAATCTATTTTCTAGAGGTGTCTTTGGTTGAGTATGTCTACCTTTCTCTATTGCTAATGGATGGTTGCTAATTCTAAATCTGGACATGCAATGTCTTTGTTTTAAATTAAGAGTGTCTAAATATTTTTCATAGGGTGTATGTTTGTTTTAGTTTTGCATACAATGTATGTCCTGAGTTTGCCATGAATTTTTCTTTGATGTTGTTGGTAATTAGTTTAATATCCCTGGGTGATAAGTCTGACTGGTTATTCATCG